CTGTCCTCACTGCCTTTACCTGGACAGGTCTCCATCAGGGACACCTGGACAGGTCTCCAGTCTCCATCAGGGACACCTGGACAGGTCTCCAGTCTCCAGCAGAGACACCTGGACAGGTCTCCATCAGGGACACCTGGACAGGTCTCCAGTCTCCATCAGGGACACCTGGACAGGTCTCCATCAGGGACACCTGGACAGGTCTCCAGTCTCCATCAGAGACACCTGGACAGGTCTCCATCAGGGACACCTGGACAGGTCTCCAGTCTCCATCAGAGACACCTGGACAGGTCTCCATCAGGGACACCTGGACAGGTCTCCAGTCTCCATCAGGGACACCTGGACAGGTCTCCAGTCTCCATCAGGGACACAAAAGAGACAATCAACCACCCACAGTCTGAAACCTTCTGGAGCTCTTCTGTGTGACTCTAGATGTGACAAACTGAGAACTCTGGACTCAGATCCATCTGGTGCTGCACACAGTTCTAATCACTTAAAATCAATAATAATTAAATAAATAAATAAATTTTTATTGACAATTATTAGGAGGAGTCCTTCGCTTTAGGATGTAGTTAGACAATTAAATATTCACAATATAAATTTATCACTATAACAGAAGGTGAGTCATGTAAAGTTATGTTTTTATAAAACAAATACATCCCATCCCCCAAGACCAGTTTCTTAGGGGAAACACTGAGAAATAGAAGACAAATGTGTACGTTGTTTAAGTTCAGGATGTCATTTAAGTCTCATGTTCTTTTTGTGTCCACGGCTTCATGATTTTTGGACTGGCTATTTTAAAGCAAAGTCTTCTGTGTTGGGACTATGTCTAGAACCCTGACAACTCCACAAATAGCTATCTTTGGGACACCATCTGACTCAAAACCACTGAACTCCACCCAGGAGGAAGTTGTTGCCTTCACATCTCTGATTGCCATACGTTGACTTCTTCTGGGATGGAAGTCACAGAATCCTCATTCAGCATCAAGGATACTGATTAAAGGACACTGCTCCTTTTCTAAAACTGGAAAAAATAAATACACAATGAAGGGATATACTGACAAGTTTTTTTTTCACTGACAAGTGGTTGTCATTTACAAAAAGTTTTTCAGATTTGGGGGTGATGCCTGACTAACTATTGTGTTATTTGTGTGATGTGTGTAGGAACGAGCCAGGGCAGTGGGAGGGTAATAAGTGGGTCATGTGCGTTTGTTGTTGATTTATGTCTCATGTTAAGGCTAAAAATTTAATAAAGATATCTGGTAAAAAAAAATTAAGTGATTTCTTTTAAAGCCAGAAAGTTGCCATTTGTTTTGTGTGATGTCTGTGATCTGCTTTTTTCCTACAAAATTAAACAACTAAATGAACATCCTCTGGAGTCGGTGCTTCCATAATTTTTGCCAGGGGTTGTACTATAGATCGTCTCAATAGATTCAGTATATGTCAGTCAAAATATTATTTTTTCCCTTTAACCCATGGCATCTTAGGCTGGATCGTACATTTGCAGCATTTACCACTGTTTTAATTTGTCAACTGAAGCTCCTATTGCTTTATCCTACAGGGTGAATTTATCTCCATGGGAGTGTTTGCTGCAGGAAACACCTACGGCATTCCAGAAGACCTCATTTACTCCTTCCCTGTTCAGATTAAGGTGAGCTAGACTTACTTTTTGAAAAGAAGTCCTGTTTTTTTGTGGCCTGTTTTTTGTATAAATGGCTAGCTTATCAAGACCAGTAGTCCTTTTGTTGACAAATGACTGTTCCTAAAATGGTGGAATGCCATCAATGGGTTAGGGATGTGGTATAAGGTACGTATTGAGGATGGCTTAAGGTTAGGGTAATGTGTTGATGATTGGGTTTAAGGTAAGGGTCAGGGTTAGGCTTCAGAAGTGAAAAGAAGTCAAGTCAACTCCCTGTTGCATTTGTCTCAGTCATGTCTTTGACCCGACAGGTAGTGGTCAGAGTAGGGTTGGGTATTGAAAGGGTTTATTTTTATACCGGTGCTAAATCGATACTTTCAATACGGTACCGGTTCCTAAATGGTATTTAAATTGGTACCTTAAAAATAAATAAATAAAACACACACACAGATTTTGTAGTTTTGTAGTAATGACTATTTCTGAGTCAAAGTCAAACTTTAAATTGACCAACATATTAATTTAAAACCATATAATTTGTCTTCACACCAAATATTCTTAAAACATTTGTTGTAGGTGGAAGTTTCTGCATCATATTTTGTAAAGTGACACCACACGGGACCGTTTTGCTTTCAACATCTCGACTATAATATATAACTGTTCACTGCAGCGGCACCTGTTTAGCCCCTCTCCATGAACTCGGTTCTACTTAATTCACTTTGGGTCGGGTCGGTTCTGCTCAGTGACCGTGTGTCTCTACGCAGTGGGTGTGATAATGTGCGGACCATCTGCAGCGGCTTCAGCTGTTGTGTTAAAAATAAAATAAAATAAAAAGCCATTGTGGTCTTACCGTTCGGCCTTCACTTTATTTATTTATTTATTTATTTATTTATTTATTTATTTATTATCACAGTGCTGTTTAGCTAAGTGCTTGTGTAACCGTGGGCGGTCAGTTTGCTGGAAACCTCCCGGTTATCTGCTCAGCTTCGTCTCCTTCACCTCTCTCCAGGAAGTGTTTACAAGTTCTGCCTTTCCCAAAAAGGCAGTTTTATTTCACCATTGTATCGCGCTGCACGCTCGTATTCCAAAACAAAAGCAGCACTTTCCAGGAGGAAATTTGCTGTCAGTCAATCTAAGAGTTAATCCTCGCTTCTACCCGAACCACAGGAGAGGAGGTTCTGAGACAGCGCTGCTGTGGAGCGCGCTTGGAGACGCATTGGGCCGAGATAGAGCCGAGTCGAACCGCGTCCGTGGAGATTGTGTGCCGAGGCTGTCACTGTTAACAGTGAACACCAGAGGGCGCAAATTAACAGCTTTCTTTGAGGCACYGAAATAAAGCACCGAAGTTAGAGCTGTGTTTCGGTCTGTGTACTACTGCTGACGTTCGCCCCGGTGACATATTTGAACCGAGTTTCGGTACCCAACCCTAGGTCAAAGGGCCCGGTGGTGCCGGTGCATGACAGCCCCGCCTCTATCAGGAGACCCTAGGGCAGCTGAGGCTACAATGTAGTTAGTATACCACCATCAGTGTGTGAATGTGTGTAGTGTGAAATGCTTTGTCCTTAGAGACTTAATAAAGTGCTATACAAGTTCAGGCCATTTACCAGCACAAAAACAACGTCAACAGACTTCTCCCTCTGTCATTATTAACAGAACAAGACCTGGAAGATAGTGGATGGGCTCCCCATTAATGACTTCTCCCGGGCCAAGATGGATGCCACTGCAGCTGAGCTGGTGGAGGAGCGAGACACTGCCCTGAACTTCTTGTCTCAGTGACCAACCTCTGCAATCCCACAGCAGCAACTAGATCTTCCAAAGACCGGCTGCTCTCAGTTGTGAACACAATGCCCTCCACTTTAAGATTCATCTGAGCTGGTGTCACCTTTGAGTGTGTTGTGTGTATGCGTGCATCAGTGTGTGTCACAGGCCACTTCTTCAGGTTTATTAACCTCCACAACCTGGCCTCCTCTGTCTGCAAAACACAAAGGGATGTTTCTGTTAGTTAGATGAAAATGCACACAAACTGTAACAAAACATCTTCTCTTCAGTAAAAACTACAAAATATGAAAGCCCACCTCAGACTGCTTTTTGTGTCTTTGATGTCTCAGTACACCAGGTTTTTCTTAAAGGGATGATTTCAAGTTGGGTTCTGTTTGAAATGAGCCGTTTAAGACAGCAGTAATTAACTTCAGGCTTGGTTGTGTGTGGACTAGTCTAATCTTGTTCAAACTGAGGAAGTTCAAAGAGCTATCTACAACATGTAAGATAGTAATTGTTCATAACCTTAATACTTATTCCTATTTTAACTGAACTAATGCTTTAAAAGACTAAAGCTGTGTTTTCATTCTATACATCATTAAATTCTTTACCAAAATACAGCTGGAAATACACAAATCTATGTAGCTTGAGTTAACTGTTGAACAAAGGAATTATAAAAGATTAGGGTCAAAGGAAAAGCACATTTCCTTGAATATGAAAATTAAATGACAGAATTTAGTATAATAAAGAATAAACAGAACCTTTAAAAAAAGATATGGCAACATCAGCTGTATTTAACAGGATCAAGGATATAATAAATACCAATAATGTTCTGATGCATCTCAGTAATCCAGGTAGAATTGTAAGTAGGTCCTCTGGACAGGTTCTTTAATGAAACGTTTGTCTTTCCTCCAAGAGACTTCTTCAGTCCTGGGAGTTTAAGGTAAATTCAGCCTTATAAGGAGTGCTTCAACACTGTGTACATGCAAAGGTGGACCCTCAGACTAGCTATAGATCATTAGTGCTCCAGTTATCTCTTGTTCATAGAGGATCCTGTGCACCAACTGATTATCACCTATTGTTCACAGGGGGCTGAGTCACTCACAATAACAGCGTTGTAAGAGGGGGACAACTGGATGAGGCCACCTGTTAAATGATGCACGGTTTTTCTTCACAAAAATGGCTAAATTTACTCCTGTCAAACCAGCGTTCTTCTTTATCAAGGATGAAAACATTTTTGTCTGCAAAAGACTGAAGATGAGTGTAAACTGCATAATCCTGGCCTGTAGATGAGTGTAAACTGCAGAATCCTGGCCTGTAGATGAGTGTAAACTGCAGAATCCTGGCCTGTAGATGAGTGTAAACTGCAGAATCCTGGCCTGATGATTTTGCTCTTTTGTGTTGACCCATTCTTTTGAACAGTGGCTGCTTTGTTTCTCCGATGTGTCTCCGAAGTGCCTCCTGGCCCTTAACTGTATACATAACATTACAGTTTGTGCCCAGGAAAACAAAGCAGCCACGGTTCAAAAGAATGGGCCAACACGGAAGAGCAACTTCATCTGGTGAGGGTCCACTTTGGCAATGTGAACAGTGCTGATTGTCATCGTTAAACCTGTTTGTCCACCATGTGGAGGCAGTGCTTATAAGGCTGAGTGTACCTGAAATTCCTCAGACTGAAGAAGTCTCTCGGAGGAGAGATGAAACAGTTCATTAAAGAAAAACCTGTCCATAGGACCTACTTTTTTTTATATCAATAACATATAAAGTTAAAACTTTTAATTTGTCTGGAAACTCTTGAAAACAAAGAATAACAAAAAAATGTGTTACTTCTGAGCCTCCCTGGTAAGGTCTATTCAGGGGTCCAGGGGGCCTCATGTACAAAGACTTGCATGGATTTCTAACTGAAACATGGCATACGGTCAAATCCAGATGTATCAAACTGTGCATACGCCTGTGTTCATTGGTGACTGTAGTCCAAAACCATTCAAAAACAAAAGCAATAGATCTAATAAACAGAAGCTCAACTTTTGTATACATAAGCCTGTTTGATTTGATAAGTTGCATTCCCTTAGCCTGATAAACATTGAAGAAAAGTTGAGATCAGACTGAGCTTCAACTCACACCTCCTGGAGAACTTTGAACACGTTCCAGGAGATTTGGGGGACATCCAGTTTGAGTGGGCCATCTTCCATGATTATTGTCAAGGTGGGTGACCGGAGCTGTAGTTTGTCTGTGCCTGTCTTGGCAGCAATCCTCAAACATCGGAGGACGTCGGCTGTGAGGGATGCTGTCAGGCTGAAGAAGGAGGCCTGTTGGGTCTTTTTGGTCTGTGAGACTCCAGAAGCAGCTGATGGGTACCGGCGGTCTAAGCAGATTGCAGCTCGGGTGGTCGCTGAGGCAAAAACTCCGGCATGAGAGGAGTTTGGAGAGGCCATGTTGTTTACGGCTTTGAGGCAATTCAGGTCCACCGTCCCATCCGGCGTCTTAGGGGGAAAGCAGTTCACCACAAACACCGTTGATGGTGGGGATGGTGTGCTGCTGACCTCAACTAGGGACATTGTGGGTCGGTGGGTGGAATACTTCAAAGACTTCCTCAATCCTACAGCACGTCTTCCATTGTGGAAGCAGGCCAGGGTGTGCACGCTCCAAAGTACGACCATAACTCAGTCTTTAGAATCATATGGATGAGGCTGTTCCATTGGGCATGATTTAGCCTTGGGTGGACCGGACTGGCACAGTCCCGATCAGTCTGCCAGCACCCTCTGGAAAGCTCATGTTGAACCCCAGTTTGATTGCTGCATGTGCACGCGTGGCGCATGGATGTGTCGCACTCCAGAGCACCGCAGTGCCAAACTGAAAAAGGATTATTACTGAAAATGGCTGATGAGCCAGTTGTCATCACGGATCAAAATATTCTATCTCTTTATAAATAAATGTTCTGCGTGTTACACTATTTATTATATCCTCCAGTAAGGCTGAATTCATTCCTGTCAAATGTATTTTTTGCACAACTTTACACGTCCTTTATCTAACGGGATGTAATAATTTCTCAGAATCACCTCTAAGTGTCGCCAATGGAACCAGAACCACAGAAACGTGTGACACCAGCCCTGGAGTTGGCGTGGAGCTGTGCATATTTCCACGTTTATTTCAGTTTTAATACATCCAGAGTTTTGCGTGGAAAATGGCGTACGCAAGGTTTTTGTGCATTGATACATGAGGCCCCTGGAGAGTCGGATAGAGTGTCAGATTCAGGAAAAGCAGTGTGGTTTTTGTCCTTGTCATGGAACACTGAACCAGCTCTACACCTTTAGCAGGGTTCTAGGGGTGCATGGGACTTTGCCCAACCAGTCTACATGTGTTTTGTGGACTTGGAGAAGGCATTTGACCATGCCCATTAGGGAGTCCTCCTGTAGATGGTACTCTGGGAGTATTATGGGCTGGTCCCTGTACAACCTGTGTCAGAGCCTGGTCCGTGTTGCATTTCCAGTGAGAGTTGGAAGGTTGTCCTTTTTCATTGATGCTGTTCATAACTTTTACGGACAGAATTTTTAGGCGCAACCAAGGTGTTGAGAGTATCGGTTTTGGTGATCTTAGGATCACATCTCTGATTTTTGTGGATGATGTGGTCCTACTGGCTTCATATCGTGATCTCCAGCTCTCACTGGAGCGGTTCGCACCCGAGTGTGAAGGGGCCAGGATGCGGATCAAAACACCTCCAAATTCGAGACCATGGTCTTGAGCCGGAAAAGGATAGAGTGCCCCTAGGCACTCTAGGTTAGGGAGGTTAAGTATCTCACAGTCTTGTTCACGAACGTTCACAAATTACTGAGAGAGTTCAGCTGGTGTCTTGTCTTTCCATGCCTTTTTACACCTCCATTTCTTCATGTGTTCAATACTTTTTCCCTGTGCCATTCCACATTATTACAAATAACTTCATTTCTGGACATTTATGGTTTGATTTCTTTGTATGTATGGATCACTTGGGTTGTTACCAACATCTGGTGAAAATTTCATGTCATTAGCACCTCTAGTAATATATTTACTGAGAAAAATGCTGACGTGTTCAATACTTATTTTACCTGCTGTATATGTATGTATGGGTATATGTATGAATGTATGTATGAATGTATGTATACTTTTCAGCAAGGTCATAATTATTATTTTATACACGTATTTTGTTGTTGGCTGAAAATTTCACAATTCAATTCAAATATGTTTTCTTCTGACTGAGCTTAAAATGAGTTTAATTCAGTGAGTATTCACACTGACTAACATGATGATCTAAACTGATTTTAACACTTTTGTTCTGGTCCATAAATGTGTAAAAGGTTTAAAAATAGGTCAAATCTACATCTTTAAAATCTCACTCTGGATAAATATATTTCACTAGATTTTTCTACAGAAAATGAAAGTTATTTGTTGTTGATGTTTGTTGGTGGGCATAACGGTAAAGGTACGAGGTGGGACATGTCCCCCTCACTTCCAATATCTGTGCCCTCTGGCCCCCCCCACCACCACCCCCCCCTCCCACACACACACACACACTTTTAAGATGGTGATTACGCCTTGGTGTGACAAACACTAGTTTTGGACTAAAATGTTGGGATCTTAAGAGTCACAGAAACATTAAGCCTGTATCTCCACCTCTGTAAGTTAAACTAGTGTCTTTCTGAATTAGACATCTGATTTAATTTCTCATTAATGAGCTCTTTATAATCTTCATTATTACTGGTTTTCTTTTAATGCTGATAAAGCAGCACATGAAACAGAGGAGAATGGATGGATGTGTTAGGGTGTAATAGGTCTATCTTTGATGTTGGTTTTTGTTTCTCAGTATTTGCTTTGATTTTTTAGATAAGCTTTTTGTTGTTGATTGTTGAAAAAAAACTGTTTAAATCCTGCAAATAATGAATCAGTGTTAAAATTATGTTTCTGCTTGTATCCGTCGTGTGGTTAGATAAAAGGCCTCACTAAACCAAGCTCCCTGCTGAATTTTAAAGCCAGCCCACCCCTGCAGATAGACAGGGATAGGGATGGTAAACATTTATAGTAACATGTTTCACAATATTTGATTAAAGCCTGGGATTATAAAATACTATATATACTGTATGTACAGTATAATAGTATTATTTGTTGTGTCAAATTTTGTTGGACCCCCTTACAAATATTCAAGACGCCCCTTTGACCCCCCACTCGTAATTTTCTGGAGCTGTCACTGCTTGTAACTCCTCCTCTCCTTCCACAGAATTAAGACTCATAATGTTCTCTTTACACACTTGTTTAGTCTTTTCTGTCCATTTCTTTTTATTCTTT